GGTGGTGTTAGCTTTGAAATCTGTGTAGTTCTTTAAATAATATTATATCATTATACCTAAATATACACGCAAAAGAACATTTTCCTATATGTAATGATTCTTCTAGATGGACGTCCTCACCCTTTTTGTTTTAGTACTCGCAATTGGGGAGGGGATTTACACAAATAATCATGTTTTGGGGTTTCGAGTGGGTGGAGGTGGAAGAGCTCAACCAACTGAGTTATTCCCCACTAGCATGGACATTCTCACCTTAGTCTGTAATTTAAACTACTAAGATAATAAAATGGCTGATAATTAATTATCTCTACAATTTCTTGTGCAATGACTTCATGTGCACTGCCTATAATGGTATACCAAAAGGGAAAAAAAAGTAGTAAAACTAAAAAATATATTTCTTATTGGCAATTTCTTATGCCTAAACCAAAAGTTAAAAATAGTAACAAAGTAAATATAAAAAATTATTGAAAGGGTGAAGACTTTCACCTGTCCAATGCATGTAATCACGGTTTTGCCTATCAAATGAATCAACAAGGACACATATATGTATAAAGCCTATAAAGAATAGAAAATAACTCAAACTCATATTTTTGTATAAAAACAAATCTAGACTCTTTTTTTTTTTTTTTTAGTGGTCCAATTTTAAATAGGTGGTTCAAAGGGCCACATAAGGGACGCTCTGATAAAGAAAAAAAGGTGATCCCATAGGGAAGACATAAGGATCCCTTGTGGAGGAAAAAGTATTTGCTCTGAAGAAAATAAAGATATAAAACTCCTACTAAAATAAATAGAAGTTTCAACCAATACAATCCTAATGATTTTAAAAAAGAAAATCAAGACCCAACAGAAATTACTTGTTTCTCGAGATGCGGCTATAAGTTTCATTGATGTACTTTCTAATCTCCAATTAATGCTATTGGTCTCTTGGCGTGCGCGTCAAACTGGCCTTTTCTTTAGTTGTCAATATACTTTTTCATTATATATCTTTTAATCTTTATGTGTTTTATATTTTTTTTTTCTTTCCAGAAATGTGTTTTATGTTTTCAGTTTTAATTAATAAAACAAATGAAAAATATATAAATAAAGGTGGAGAAATGGATACAATTTGTCTATTGAAACTTTTATAGGGCATATTCAATTTAGGAGTATTTAAGAGTAGTTAATTTCTTTTATTTTATAAAAAAAAAAATGTTTGATTCAATTAACAAAGTCTGGATCAAACCCATAATATCCCACCATTGTTTCCTATAGCCCATGTGTTTGCAACAAATGTGTTGGCCTAAACGCATTTGATTTCCTTCAATTACAATAATGATGCCAAAGCTCTTCCGGATCTTCATCTCCTCTTAATTGGAAAGGATATGAGGCTTAAAGATCATATAGTTGTGTTGTGTTTGGGAAAAAATATAGGGATGCGGCTAAAATATGAAGAAATATGACTTGTGATTGTGTAGGAGTTGGAGCTCTATGGTGGTGCAGCGTGGCGGCACAATGGAGGTTAGGTGGTGGTGGGAAACTGGGGTACTGATTCTTTGGGAAATTGGGACCTTTGGTTAATTAAATAAAATGATTTATTTCCTTTTCCAAAAATAAATTAATGACTCCTAAATATATGTTTGAAATTATGTTAATTTAAAAGTGATGATGTGCATATGTCACATTATTTGGGATCCAAATTTGGTGTCTTTAGCATTTCCCTTGAAATAATACATACAACCTTTCAGAGCATCTCCAGCGCAGCAACAGAACCGGGCAAAAGGCCCCCCTCGCAAGCCCAAGGCAGCTCCAGCGCTGCAGCCTGGTTTGGCGTGGGTCCCACCAGCTCGGGCAAGCCCAAGGGCAAGTTTCGCCTGGGCTTCAGCCCGAGGGCTGTGATGTCAGCGCTGACGTCACGAAATATTTAAAAAATCCAAAAAAATTTCAATTTTTTTTTTAAAATACCAAAAAATTATAGATGCTTTCCCTATAAATACATAACAATTTTATTCACTTTCTAAATTGTTTATATTTTGTTGCATAATATTTTTTTCCTTTCTTGCCTTAGACTTGCCCTAGACTTAGCCCTCATGGGTGGAACCACAAATGGCAAGGCTGACACTATTCACGTGAATAGTGGCAGCCCTTGCTTGCCCTTGCCCTAGACTTAGCCCTTATGGGTGGACATGCTCTCAATCCATTAAAAAAAAGGTGGAGAACTGGAGGTAACTACCACATCCTTAGTGGTTTTTTTTTTTAGTTTTTCTATTAAAACCCTACACTCCTCTTTGTTCACCCTATATTCTAAGTTTACTCTAGCTTCTAATTTAAATTTTCACACATTCTAAGAAAACTCCACTATCTTTCCAAACAACCCCTAAATACAAACCCAGAAAAGAAAAAACAAACAAACAACAAAAAACTCATCAACCTCACACCTCGCTATCTTGCCCCTCACCACTCTAAGTTCACCTCAACCTCACATTACTTAAAAAGATAAAAACGTTGTTGTCAAATGTGTAGTAGTATTATTCTATTATTATAATTTTTATAAAAAAAAAATATTTACTTGTTCAGCAAAGCAAACCCATATGGCAATTTCCATATTATATATCAATCAAAGGCTTAGGCAAGCATTGTTTCTTTGCTTTGCAGTCAAGGTCTGGTTTTTTTTTTCCCCTCCAGTTTTGTTTCTTTGATTATGACTATGATTATTATTATTATTATTATTTATGTTTTATTTATTTATTATGATTTGCCGTATTTTAGGGTTTGTGAAGAGAAGATGAGAATGTAGTAGGTTTCTTCTACAAGCCACTATTTACATACCTTATTTAGGGTTTGTGAAGGGAGTGTAATAGGTTCCTTAGATTTTTAAATAAAAAAAAAAGTAATTTGGAAATAGAGTGTAGAGGAGTTTATGTTTTTGTGTAATATGAAGAGTGGTTGGGTGTGTGTATAGATGTATTAGGATTAAGTATTAAGTTGGATGATTTTTTTGTCTTTTACACAATAATAAAACTTAAGAGCATAATAATTTAAGTATTGGGGTGAACAAAGAAAAGTGTGGAGTTTAAATGGAAAAACTCTTTTTTTTCTTGGAATCCTTAGTGGGTTCTGTGTTTTGTTTTGTTTTTTAAAAATTATTTAAATAATAAACATTTTACTATTTTACCCTCATAATAAGTCATTAACACTTTAGTTAATCAATTACATTTCGAGTTTTTCTATTTAAACCCCACACTTTTCTTTGTTCACCCCAATACTTAAATCATTAAGCTTTAAGTTTTATTATTATGTAAAAAGACAAAAAAATCATCCAACTTAATACTTAATCCTAATACATCTATACACACACCCAACCACTCTTCATATTACACAAAAACATAAACTCCTCTACACTCTATTTCCAAATTACTTTTTTTTTTATTTAAAAATCTAAGGAACCTATTACACTCCCTTCACAAACCCTAAATAAGGTATGTAAATAGTGGCTTGTAGGTCGTCAATTGAGTTTGACAATAGTGTTTTTATCTCTTTAAGTAATGTGTGATTGAGATGAACTTAGAGTGATGAAGGGCAAGATAGCGGGGTGTGAGTTGATGAGTTTTTTAATTTTTTAATTTTGTTGGGTGTGTATTTAGGGATAGTTTGGGAAGATAATGGGGTTTTCTTAGAAATTGTGAAAATTTGAATTAGAAGTTGAAGCGAACTTATAATATAGGGTGAACAAAGAGAAGTGCGGAGTTTAAATAGAAAAACTCTTACATTTTTTGAATTTTTGAATATTTTACCATTTGAGGCGTCTACCTTTATATATATAGATAGATATAACTCTATTAGTTGCATTTTATTGGAATTAGGAATGCGTATTATTTTTTTGTATTGTTGATATTATTTGTCACTTGTAATATATAATGTATTATTTTTACTTCTATTATGTTCATTTAACCTTCCGTTTGGATGAAGGAATTGAAAATTACATAGAATTCTAAAATGACGGAATTTAGATTTCCATCATTTCAATTTTTGGCAATTGCAGATTTCAGTGTTTGGATTTATGTACGTCGAATTTTGTAAATGGCACTATAGAAATATGTTGCATATTTTGGTCGAAATTAAACTTGGGAATTTGAAGCCCCAATTTCCACAATTTTTTCCTCGCGTCATTTAAGAAATTCAGCGCTTAAGTTGCCAAATAAAGGAATTGTCAATTTCTTCTCTTAAATTCCCAACTTTTAGCTAAATTTTGAGTTATTTTAATTCCCTCATCCAAACGGAGGGTAAAAATACTCGTAAACATACAAAGTTGTAAAGAATGCTGTTATTTCCACTCACTTGTTATATTTTTCCATCCGCCTTATCTTTCCACCCACTATGTAAATTTTAAAAAACACAATCATATCTTTCCACCCACCATTATTCCTAAAATACTAATTTAATTATTAATTCCAACATATTCTCATCTTTATGAAATTAGTATTAAATTAATTCAACTAAAGCTCCCTCACCCACCCAACCTAGTCAGCCACCCCAACCCCGTTGGCGGCAACCCTCCCATGCTCGCCAGAAACACCTCCTTTTCTCTATCTTTCTTTTTCCACTCCCACAAGACACACTAGATAAAAATTAAGGCTACATCTCTTTTTCACCTCTTTCTCTCTTCTTCACATCTCGCCTGATTCGACAAATCGATGGCTTGTAGTCATCATCTCTTCATAGCATCTCATCTACCCAAATTGAAAATTGAGCCAATTGAACTAAATCTGTACCAGTTCGGATTGGTTCAGTTCCCTTATACATGAAAACCAAACCGAATCATACAATGTGTAATTTTTTATTTTAAGAGATAAATCAGACTGAAACGGACCATGCCCACCCCTACCTTTTTTAGGACTTTTTATTACATTTTTCTTTTGGAAGAATTTTAATTGACAACAAAGAAAAGAAATTTTGAATTAATTTTAGAGTAAAATGTCGATTATACCCTCAGTTTCAGTTCATTGACAAATCACTGAACCCTTTTCCTGAAAAACATAAAGAAGCCAGCTTTTTAACGGGCACAAAGAGAAAGGAGATTAAATTTGGGGTTAGGGTTTTGTTTGTGAGAAAAAAAGGAATAAAAATGGAGGGTTGGGACCCGAACACGAAGTCGACGCTAACCCAGATCCCACTGTTGACGACGAAGGCCGGGCCGAGAGATGGGGCGGCATGGACGCAGAGGCTGAAGGAGGAGTACAAGGCTTTGATCGCCTACACCCAGATGAACAAGTCCAACGACAACGATTGGTTCCGAATCTCCGCGGCCAATCCGGAGGGGACACGTTGGACCGGAAAGTGCTGGTACGTCCACAACCTCCTCAAGTACGAGTTCGATCTCCAGTTCGATATCCCCGTCACCTACCCAGCCACCGCACCTGAGCTTGAGCTCCCTGAGCTCGACGGCAAGACCCAAAAGGTCGGCCCTTTTTCTGATTTTCCCATTTTGCCCTTTCCTCCTTTCTTTTATTTTTTTTTCTCTGGTTCTGAATTATGATTTTTTGGTCAATTGATGGTGGGTTGGTTCAGATGTATAGAGGGGGGAAGATCTGCTTGACAGTGCATTTCAAGCCGCTTTGGGCCAAGAACTGGTAATTTTGCTATTATTTAGTTGTTTTTAAATTTTGTATGTTAAATAATTGTGATCTTTTGATCTGTTTGGTCGCCGAGAAATAGTAGGAAAAGAAAGGAAAGTGGTTTTGGAGATTGTATACTTTTTGTAGTATTTGGGTTTAGAAGAGATTTCAAAATCCGGTGTGAGCGAAAGTCTGATAATTTTCTGGCTTTGTGAACTCGGCGCTTAATTGGTTTGAGCAGATATGACGTAACTGAACAAACAAAATGCATAATTTGAATAATTCAATACATTAGTCTCTTTTTGTGAAAGTAATGTAGGTGTTTCGATTTCGTAACAACTCTATTTGCCTAGCTTCGCGTCGTGGAAGAATGGTATTTGTATTTTGTTCTGTGGAAGGAAAGTAATTGGTTAAGATACATTGGTGCACAACTATCACAACATAGTTTCTTGTTGTTTTTCAATTTGAAGTAAAATGAAAAACATTGATCTATAGAACTTTTACATTTCATGGCATTCACATGGTAGTTGCTTACCTAGAAATTTCAGTCTTCCTTTAATGTCATACAAGTTACTTACTCTATTCACTTCTGGAAAGTATTAAAGCAAGCAAACACCATGACATTTTTACATCTTTCTTAATAGCTTTTTTTGGGGTTATCGGCTAGTAGTTCTTATGATCGTTCTTATGTTATGCAGTCCGAGGTTTGGTATAGCACATGCACTATGTTTGGGTCTTGCACCATGGCTTGCAGCAGAGATTCCCATTCTTGTGGATTCTGGTATGGTTAAGCACAAAGATGATGCTGCATCATCAGCTGAATCTTAGTTCAATGTAATATTGACACTGTAAGAGTAAACCTCGATGACGGAAAATAAGTGTTGAGCCATAAGTAGCGGTGGGCACGGTCCAGTTTGGACCGGTTTTCTTAAAAGATTGGAACGTGGACCGAAAATGAGGACCAGTTCGGGTTGGACCGGCTTTGCTAAAAATTCATACATAAATCCGAACCAATCCGAACCTGTTCGGTTCCGATTTGGGCATGAGCCCAAAATTTAATTTTTTTTATTTTTTTACAAACCTGCCCAGAATGTATTTATATTATTGACATTGGAAAAGAAGCATCTCCTATGTGCTTCTCCATAAAATCACTTCAAATCACTTAGGGCTAGTTTGAGATTGTTGTCACTTATTAATAAATAAATAAAAAGTTGCTTCTATTGTGCTTTAAAAATAATTAGTTGTAAAGTAAAGTTGATCCATGTTTGGTAAACAATTCTTTTAAAGTATTGTTAGTACAAAAAGTAGTGTCAAAATCGTTTTGTAAATTTTAATATAGAACTATTGTAACTATGAATAATGACTCAAATAGCCATGATGTTGAAAGTGTTATGCCCTAAGTATGTGGCGGTAATGGTGGTGGCGAAAGAGATGGAAGTGAATGTGGTGGTGAAGGAGGTGGTGGTGGTGGTGGTAGTAGTTGTGGTGGTGGGGATGGCGGGTGTGGAGGTGGAGGTGGTGGCAGCATGGTGGTGGAGGTAGTGGTTGTAGTAGTGGTGGTGGTGGTGGTGGGGGTGGCGGTTGTGGAAGTGGAGGTGGCAGTGGTGGAAGTTGAGGATGTGGTAGTGGCGGTGGCGGTGGTGGTGGTGGTAGTGGCGGTGGCTGTGGTGGTGAAGGTGGTGGTAGAGGTGGTAGAGTTGAATGTGGAGGTGGAGGTGGTGTCATTTTTAAAAATTAATGATGGTATTTTGGGAATTTAAAATAATCGAGATATTTTATTTTTATCAAACATCTTAAACTGCTTAACTTTAAAGTGAAGCAGGTTTTGGTGAAAAAAAGAAATCCCAAAGGGAGCCTTAAAGTGATTATTTGGAGAAGTGATTTTCCATGAAAGTGATTATTGACTTTTGCAGAATCACTCTCAAACGAGCCCTTATTGTGGAGATATTAAAGATTGAGGATGGGATGATGCCATTCAGATTATTATCAGACTACAAAAAAAACTCTAAATTTTGAAAATCAAATATCTCATCTAATATAGTGTCTGTCACAATTTCACAATCCTTGCATGTTTGACTTTGTGGCCTAAGCATTATTAGTGTACAACAATTTCAATATATATGGATTTATGTAATCTAATCTAGCCAGCCTTATGTACTCGTTCATGACTTTTAGTATAAAATGTAACACTCATAATATTAATTCATACAACAATATTTACACGGAAATATCTAAACAGAAAATAAAAATGTCATATTCCCTTGAGCAAAACACGTTTGAGTTTGGATGTCTTTATACTTTTTTTTCTTTTCTTCTTCTTACTTTTGTTAACTTTTTTGAGAGAACATATTGACTAAGATATAACGTTTATTAGGCAAGTCAATCTGTTATATTCACGATTAACTATTATTCATGATTGACTTAATTCAATTAAGTTAGATGAGATACATAGTTAAAGTAGGTGGAAAAAAGTGTGGCCACAGCCACCACGACAAACACCAATAATCCCACTATGTCTTAGCTTATATTTAAGTCATAAGATCCATTAATTGAAGCGCTGAGCAAGAGGATGGTTTAACATCACACCTCCTCCTGCAGCAGCATCCTTCAGAAACTTCATCTTGATTTTGTTTAGTGTGGCTACAGCTTCCTTCATACTTATCCTCTCTTCTGGTGAGTTTGCACAACAAGCAAGAGCTAATCTCATAATGGATGATAAGCAATCCCTCTTCCTCACATGATCATCATCTTCCTGCTCTGTCCCACTCCCAAGCAAATTGCCATCCATAACTTCATCTATCATTGCATCTGTTAACAATAGTGAGTTTGCAATCCATTGCTTTATATTCATTTCATCACCAAACATCTCATCTGTTGGCTTTCTTCTTGTGAATGTTTCCATCACTACAATTCCGAAACTGTACACATCCCCTCTTGTTGAAACTATTCCTTCCATTCCATACTCTGCAACATGAATTATACTTATGTTCATGTGTATGATGAAATGAAAATTATGAGTTAAGTTCTTCATAATTAAGGACAAAATGTATAAAACTGAAAGATATTAAACTAGCAAGTACATACCTGGAGCTATATACCCAACTGTGGCCAGGGTCATGGTTTGGGTAACAGAATCTCCTCCACCCAAAAGTTTTGCAATTCCAAAATCAGCAACATGAGCAACCATATCATCATCTAGTAGTATATTGCTTGGCTTCATATCACAGTGCACAATAGGTATTGAATAACCATGGTGTAGGTATTCCAGTGCAGATGCAACGTCTATCATTATATTCAACCTCTGTAAGATATTCAAACAAGAGTAGTTTTGAGAATACAACCAATTGTCCAGGCTCCCATTAGGCATGTAGTTCAATACCAAGGCTTTGAAATCAATTTCACTGCAACAACTGATGATTTTGATAAGGTTTCGATGACGAATATTACTTAGCATTTCACATTCCCTGTCAAAACTCCTAAAAGCCCCTTCTAGCTGTAAATTGAAAACCTTTGCTGCAACATCTATTCCATCTGAAAGTGTCCCTTTATATACTGACCCAAAACCCCCACTTCCAAGTAAGTTATTTTCGTTAAATCCATTTGTGGCCCTTAGAAGTTCTAGGTATGAAATTCTTCTCCAAAGAAGTTGAGGCAACGAGGTAGCCTCTCCAGCAACTTCCACATTCCTTTTCCTGCGTATTACAAAGATAGATATGGAGGCCACAAAGAAAATTACTGATACGATCACTGGGATGATATATTTAGCTTTCCTCCAATTTGGTTCAATTGTACTATTTTTGCATGGTGGAACATGGAGTCTGGCTGCACCACAGAGTGCCCTGTTTGAGACAAATGATTGAGCGGAAAAGTTTTGGAATGGTCCACCTGTTGGAATTTCTCCTTGGAGCCTGTTGAAAGACAAATCCAGATACTTGAGATGTAAGAGAGCTTCTAAAGACCTTGGAATCACTCCAGCCAGATTGTTTCTGGATAAATCCAAGTGTTCGAGGCTTACCAAGTCGTGAAATGAACTTGGAATAAGGCCTTCCAAATTATTATTTGCCAAGGATAGAATAACCAAATCCCAAAGACCCCCAATGGTGCTTGGTATAACACCAGATAAATGGTTATTTGATAAATCTACATCTACCACAACTTTCAACTCTGCAATATCTTGCGAGAGAGGTCCAATTAGAGAATTGGATGATATGTTTACATGCAAGATATAGGCAAGTCTCCAAAGAGTAGATGGTATTGTGGAACTCAACGAATTGGACTCCAGTGATAGAGTTCTTAGAGATGTGGATAGATTTCCCAAGCAAGAAGGTATAGAACCCGAGAGTTGATTACTACCCAAATATAAGTAAGCTAGGTTTTCTAATTGACAAAGTTGATATGGGATGTACCCTCGCAACTTGTTACCAGAAAAAAACAGACCTTGGAGATTCCCAAGTCTTCCCACTGCAGTTGGAATTGAGCCACTCAATTGATTGTACCTCAGGGATAAGGTTAACAAGTTGCTAAAGTTGCCAATACCAATGGGAATGTTACCCCTCATGCTGCAATTTAATAAATTAATATATTGAAGCGACGATGTAGAGCAATTCCGAAAGGAATCGTCAAGTCTGGCATTTAACGGATTATCTCGCAAGGATAGTTTTGTCAAATTTCTAAGATTAGCCAAACAAGAGAGAATGCTTGCTTCTGGAGTCGAAGTGATTTGAATCGTCAAATTATTCCGGCCTAAGTGAAGACTCTGAAGGTTTTTTAAGGCACAAAGCGTCCTTGGAATAAACCCTGTAAATGAGTTGTTGTTCAAATCTATCTTGCTGAGCGTAGAAGCATTGGAGAGGTTGGGGATTTCTCCGCTGAGGTCATTTGCTGCTATATAAAGCTGTTGTAGGTTTGGAAGCCCAAGGCCTATGTTTGCTGGGAGGCTACCCGATAGCTGATTCCGACTAAGCAACATTACTCTTATCGTGGAGATATTGAAGATTGAGGATGGGATGAGGCCATTCAGATTATTATCACCAACTGCAAAAGACTCTAAATTTTGAAGATCGCTTATCTCATCTGGTATAGTTCCTGCCACAATGTCACAACCGTTGCATGTTTAAACTTTGTGGCCTTAGCACTAGTATTAGTCTACAACAATTTCACTATGTATGGATTTATGTAATCTAATCTAACCCTATCTACTCGTTCATGACCTTTAATATAAAATGTCACATTCATAATATTAATTAATACGACAATATTTACACGGAAATCTCTAAAAAGAAAGTAAAAGTACTAAAAAGATTTGTGTTTGAAACAAATTTAGAAATCGGGCCATAATTTACAAAATTTCATATTCCCTTGATCAAAACACGTTTTTGTTTGCATGTCTTTATACCTCTTCTTCTTTTTGACAAAAAAAAATTGTTATATTCATGATTAACTATCTCCCTCATTTACTAAAATATGAAATAGTTAAATAATGATAAATTATGCAACCAAAATAAAAAAGATAAATCATAATTGGATCAAAATAATGAAATATCAATTACCCGTCAAATTGTTGTTGTCAAGGTATATCTCCTTCATCATTGTTAAGTTCCCAATATTTTTTGGTATGCTTCCACTGAAATTGTTTTCCTCCAAATATAGTATAAGAAGCTTTTTGCATTGCCATAATTTGGATGGAAGTGGACCATCAAACTGGTTGAGACCCAAATCCAAGTTTTGAAGACTAGGAAGATGTTGGCATATATTGTCTGGAAGACCACCACTCAAGCTATTTCCATATAGAGTCAACGTAGTCAAAGAAGACATGTTGAAAACAACCACAGGAACAGGGCCTTTTAGGGCATTGTATTGCACATACAACTCTTCCACATGATCTAAAAAGCCAATCTCTTTTGGAATTTCTGAAAAATCATTAAGATATATGCACATTTATATGTTAACAAAATCCGAGTCAATATAACTGGATCACATCAAGGCAAGGCAATGCAACAAATATAGACCCGGCAATATTGCACACGACCCGTTAACACGACACGAATTCGCACGAAATTATCAGTATTTGGGTTGAGCTTATTGGGTCGGGTTGAAAACGGGTGAACCCGTTAGCCACCCGTTAAGCTAACGGGTCGTTTCGGGTCGAAAACGGGTTAACCCGTTACCACCCGTTAAGAAGGTTAATTTTGTAAAATATTTTTCTTTTCTTTTCTTCTTCCCCTTTTCTTTCTTCTTTCCGTGTCTTTTTCTTCTTCCCTTTTTGTCTTTTTCTTCTTTCCCCTTTTCCTTTTCTTCTTCCTCTCGTTCTTCTCTTCTGCTCTGTTCTTCTCTTTTTCTCTTCTGCTATCTTTTTGTCAAGATTCTCTTCTGCTCTTCTTCTCTCCACTCAATAGACTCCGCCAACCCAGCCACCAGGGATGACTTCTATTAACGTTAGGGACCATTAATGATACAAAAAAACGTTAGGGATGCAATGTGATAATTTCACAAACGTCAGGGATGTTTTGTGATAATAAGCCTTAAATAAATGAAATTATAAGAAGAAAAAAATACCATGACAACTACATAATTTATAGAAAAACTCTTAGAGTGCCTATTTGGAGAAGAAAAAAAAACCTCAACTAGTCACTTGTCACTTTCTAATTGGTTCTTAGTATGTTACAATTTTTTCACTAGTTGAAGATACAATGTGGAGTTTTTCTGTAGTATTGGATTTGAAGGGCGTTTTTATAAAATAAAATAAAATAAAATGCTATGTTATGTTATAATGGGCCTATATGTTAAAACCTCATAAATATTCCCCATATATATATATATATATATATATATCATTCATTATTTACAATCTATGTCATTATCCCTCAACGCCCAACAAGTTTTTATCATTTGTAGCCTACAATAGGTAGTCCCTAGTTTTAGAAATGTAAGTTTTGTAAAAAATTTCGAGTATAGCAAAAAACCAACATGAATAGACTCAACCACCCTTAAAATTTAAAACCAAATATCTAATCTATTCAAGTGAGAGTTTTTTAGTATTGGATGACCTGCAAGGAAGAAAAAATTAGCCTAATTTTCTAAAGAACACATCGGGCTTATAGATTAATAACAATATGTTAAAACATATAATGATAGATCAACAATAGAGTATATATAACTTCTTGACACATACGTACCTGATAGTTGATTAGCCCTTAGATTAAGTACTTGCAGTGTAGACAAGTTGAAGATAGTCATAGGTATGGAACCTGAAAACTGATTGCCATACAAATTGAAGCTTTGAAGTTTGGGGAAGGACCCAAACCACGATGGAATGGATCCCATAAAATTGTTGTATCCGAAGCTAATCAACTTCAAGCGACGCAAATAAGACAATTGATAGGGCAAAGCACCATCGAAGCTGTTATTGTTGAAGCTTAGTGCAACAAGGAATGAGAGGTTGCCTAAGTGTGGTGGAATGGTGCCAGTGAAACCCATGTACGAGAGATTCAATGATGCTACTCTGAGGTGGCGAGAACCACAAGTGACGCCAACCCAGTTGCAGACGGAGGTGGTGGTTGACCAGTTGACCAAGATGTTGTGAGGGTCACTAGTGATATGGGATTTGAGAGCAAGAAGAGCAAACTGGTCTGTGGTGATGTCGGTTTGTGTTGCACCTACTATACCTATAGAACTGTAGTGTACCAGCAACAACGTTATCGACAAGAGGAAACGACTTCTCTCCATGAGCACAGAAAACAGACAAGTTCCTTCCAACTACCAAGTGTTTTTCGTTTTCTTTTTTCCCCCGAGTTTGAAAACTTGAAATGATTGAATAATTTGTTGCAGTGCCAATATATGAAGCCAGAACAAGTTGCCAAAGACTGGGATTGCACCCCGGGGGAGGAAATTCGCGAGTAGCCAAATGCAGCGACTTAGACTTGTAAGAAAGGAAGAATGGGCAAATGGATTTAACGAAAGCAACTTACTTGGAAGAATGGACAATTTCAGATGGTATATCTGAAGGGGCTTTCAAGAGCTTTCATAGGGAATGTGGGTTTTCGGTGTTAAATCCATTTGTCTGTGTTTTTTTTTTTTTTTTTTTTTTTTTTTTCTGGTTTATTCTTAACGGGTTAACGGGTCGTGTCGGATATTCGCGAATTGTAACGGGTCGTGTTTGGGTCTAGTATTTGTCACCCGTTAACTTAACGGGTCGTGTTCGTGTCAACCCGTTAAGAAAACGGGTTAACCCGTTAACGACCCGGAACCCGTTAAAACGACCCGTTTGCCAGCTCTAAACAAATATACCGTTGAAATTGTTAGAATTAAGGTTGATCTCCTTCAGCATTGTTAAGTTCCCTATTTCTCTTGGTATCCCACCTGTTATGTATTCCAAACAAAGACTCATAATACATTTAAATAAAGGCTTATTATCACAAAACATCCCTGACGTTTGCGAAATTATCACATTGCATCCCTAATGTTTTTTTGTATCATTAATGGTCCCTAACG